GGTTTTTATTCAAGTGTAAAGGATACACTTTATTCTAGATTGAAATTTGGAGTTATTCTAATAATTTCTTTGCTATGTTTAAAATATCCAACTCATATTTTTATTGTGAATTGGGCAAGTGAAAAAATGCCTGAAATACTTAGAACAAGAACTGGCCCATGGGAAGCACTAAACATCAGCTAATGTCAATATCAATAATAATAAAAATACTTAGATGATAAGTTTATTAAATTTATTATTTCTCTCATTGTTTCTCCAAACTTCCCTGAGAAGTTTGGTTTTGTTAAACCAAAACAGTCAACTGGTGCTAATAAAATAATATCTGAGGTCCCATTCTCCACACCTAACAGTTGATTTGCAGCTCAAAATAAGCATTTGTTCATTGGTGCTTACACCCCACCCAGGTGTCAGCCACGATATGAAGTGATAGTTAAGAGACAGGGTCAGAGCAAGAGGGAGATGCAGTTTGAGGATGGCCCATGGTACTGATCACTTCAACCCAAGTGATCTGCTGGCCCGGGCAATCAGGTTTGGAGTGCTAAATTCAGTTACAGTTGCTGCATGTGCTCAGAGACATTGGCAAACTGCCGAGGGTCCAAAGAATCACCCTCAGGGTGGTCTAACTATGACTTGTAACCAAGTGTGGAAGGGTCAGGGACGTGTGGTCTGGAAGTGAAAGGGACAGGCTGCTTCAGGGTTCATGTTCAAGTACAATTGCAAAATGTACAACCCCATGGTTTCCTCTCAAAATCTCCTAGTTTGGATAAAATTTTCTCCCTCAAATGACGACTTTTATACTTATTCCTCCACCAAATCTTGTGTTGGTGTGTGACAGCAACGTGACCTGCAATATCGTACCTAAAGAGGAGGGGTTAATGGCTCACGTTTCTGAATCGTGGTGCTTCTCTCTCTCTCTCTCTCTCTTTCCCCTGCTTTCCAAAAGACTTGACCTTCTCTGACTGCTGTTCAGGTCACAGGACCACCATCTATCAAGCTGAGCAACCAGAGAGAAAAGGATTCACTTTCCTCTCAGCTCAACCTGAAAAACACTTGGAAAGGACATTGCTTCCCGGTGGTAGGGTCACGGACAAGGTGAAGGGTAGGGGGGTGGCATGCAGGGAGGCAAAATGGTCACCAGGACGCACTGCTCTCAGCCAGAAAAAGGTACAAAGAAACAGATTCCCAGCTCGGTGCAGCCACAGGGGCAGCCTTGGAAAGCTGTGTTTCTGATCACTGAAGGCAATTAATTGGCAGGAAGATGACATGTTGTATAGAAGAATTCATGATTAGGGTGAAGAATTGGACTAGAAACTTTTAGAATTTCTATGCAAAATAAAAATGCTTTACTTCTACAAATTTTCCTTATTTTGTGTCTAATTAATTTCAAAGAATCCAAGTTCTAAGTATAATAAGTGAAATAATTGCCACTTTAAAAAAAAACAACTGCACTGCATCCCAAGGGGCCCTGGGATTGATACAAAAGTATTGGAATTGACCCAGTAAAGCTACACCATAAATTTTAATAGTGTTCTCTAGGGCCACATAGTGTTCTGCAATGCTGTGACTCCATAAAAGCAGCCATGGCAAAGCCGGACCATTTGCATTTGTGGTGCTGAGCATAACTAAATTATTCCAAAGTCACATTGAGTGCCCGAGGCAAGGGGCGCGGCCTGGACCAGCGATGGTGGGAGCGGCAGTCTTGGAGTAAAAATGTTAACTGAAGGTTTGATGAGATCTCTTGTTCGGTCTGTTCTCAAAGATAACAAAGCAGGGGAGTTCCAGGAGCCTTTAGTGACGTGTGCTACTGCAGAGTACTTGCGGTGGCAGAGTTCACCCTGCAGAAATCTACTTCCCCACAGTCGTAGAGGTTGGAAGTGTGAGGTCAAGGTGAGGTCAGGGTTAGTGTTTTAGGAGGCTTCTTGCCTTGTCTTCTCCCTGGTTTGCTTGGGGTCTTCCCTCTGGATGTGTCTGTCCTAATCTCCTTTGCTTATAAGAATGCCAGTCATATCTGATTGGGTGCCAGCCTCAGGTGGGAAGTTCATGTCTTATTTAAAGATCCCATCTCCAGATGCAGTCACATTCCTGGGGTACTGGGGGTTAAGAAGCAAACATTATTGTAGGGCAGGATGTGGTGGCTCAGTCTGTAATTCCAAAGACTCAGGAGGTCGAGCCCAGGAGGATCATAAGTTCAAGCCCAGCCTTAGCAATTTGGAGAGACTGTGTCTCAAAATTAAAAATAATAATAATAATTAAATTTAAAAAAAAAACTAGAGCTGTAGCTCAATGGTAAAGTTCCCCTGGGTTCAATCCTTAGTTCAAAGAAAAAAAAAAAGACCACCAAAAAATAAAAATTTATTTAAAGGAGAGCAATTCAGCTCACAGCATATGCTAACTCCCTGGTAAGAATTGCCTCTTTAGAAATCATTTATCTTTTACTCTGCTTTTTCACTCCATCTTTCTCCCTGTCCCAGCTTTGGAGGAGATGGAGAATAGATGAGCATTCTCCACCCAGTAACTGTTTGCAGGCTGGTCTGAGGTGGTTCAACACCCCCACCTGTCCCCTGTCTTTCCATATGGGTCCCTCTTTCCAGCTGGGAGACTATCCCAGGGTTCTCAAGGGCTGCATCTCTTAGGAATGCACCCAAGCTCAGGCCTGTTTTCTTGGCAGTTTAAGATACAGCTCCCGTGCTTACCTCAGGGTCAGGGTGATTTCTGCATCCGTACGGTTGTTCTAGGCCTACTTCTTTTCTCTTCTCCCCGAAAGCATCTTCTGGTCACTACAGTGTGAAACATGGTTCGTAAGTTGCTTCTGCAATCTGCCTTGGTGATCTTGAAGTCTATCTCATAGCTGAAATAGGAGGTATCCTTCTACCTAGTGACACAAGAGCCACCAGTGAGGTGGGTTCTGACAAGAGAAAAACGAGGCCCAGAAAGGTGAATTCGTGGTACAAGATGGCCCAAGATGGCAACGTCTGAGCACCTGCTGCAGAGCTTTCCACTCTGTGCTCTGAGCTCCTCCTTCACAGCCTTGCCACATCTCAGCCACTTCTCCAGTCTCCAGGAATAATGCGAAGCCATTGGTCCTCTTTGGCTCCTAGCATCTAACCGGTCGTGAGGCCTTCTGATTTCCCCTGAGCACGTTAATTCAGCATTCTGTTCTTTTTGCTGCCGATGTCAAGCTACCTGTTGTAGAAACCTCCCACTTGGACTCTTGGTTTGCCCTCTCTTCACCAATCCGTCAAGATGGTGGAGGCGGGGGCCAAGAAAAACGCCAGGCGGAGTTCCAGGTGGGAGGGTGAGTCTCATTATTACTGCAACGTCCACCACTGCTCTGCTTTCCAAATAGACAAAAATCATGACTGGGAACAAACAGCAAGGCCCTCACTCAGGTCCAGGGGAGCGTAGGAAGCAAAGCTCAGCATGTAAGGCTCACCTAAACATTGGAACTCGAGCCACTGCCGTGTTGGCCCACTCTGCTCTTCTTTATGGAGAGAGATTTCACTTTCAATATCTCTACCGTCTGCCTGTTATTTCTGTGTGTCTTGCTGAATTCTTTGTTCCAGACACTGAGTACCTGTACCCCACTGGACCCTCAACCAGTGTCATGAAGACACCCTGTCCCATCACTCTTGCCTTCCCATTGCTGAAGGAAACACTAAGGACCACATTGTGTTCCTCCAAAAGCTTATATGTTGCACTTTTAACCCCCAAGGACTTACTTAAGATTAAGTGAACTCTGCACTTAATTACTTCTGTATAAGAGGCAAGGGGTGTTCATGAATAGAGAGGAAGTCATGTGAGGATACGGAAAGCCAAGGAGAGGCCTCAGGAGAACCCAACCTGCCCACACCTTGAACTTGGACTTCCATGCTCCAGAACTGTGAGAAGTAAGCTTGTGTTGTTTAAGCCACTGTGT